ACAGACGCAGCATCGACAAACAGTTCATTATCCGGTCTTCAATTACTCACAACAGAAGCTTAAAAGCTCTGAAAGTAGTAATAATACTGCAGTAAGTCTTCGCAAATCAATGGTAATTATGCTAGATTGTGAACTCGCATGCTATGCTTTTCGGAAAACAATGCAGTATTGAAATTTTCACTACACAAATTGCATATTTTGGCGCACAAATAATCCTTTCACTCAAGTCACCATCAGTGTGGTTTGAGAAAACACTTGTTTCATCCTGTGCACGTGAATTAATTCTGACTGTACAATGTATTAATAATTTGAGAGAATTTCAAACTGCCCTCCAGTCATGGTTTCCCAGTTTGTATGCTTTGTTGATTTATCATATTTGCAGCAGAATTTCCAGTGAAGAACGCGAAACGAGCAAACACAGTGGAATCATTTGTACGAGTCATTAGATTTCTTTTATCACTCTTCATACGTTATGTGGCGAAGAGTGTTGAAACCTCTCACCAGAAATCATCCTAATTTCACACTGAAGAGCTTATCCAGCAAAGTTTTCAGCTGCCAGATCAATCTTGATGTCTATTGGATTAGCCTTATGGGTTTGCTTTTCAAAAATACACACTGGAGATGGTCCAGCGCGTGGAAAAAAACGTGCCGAAGCTTTGGGGAACTTTTCACAGAGCTTTTAGGATTTGCGGCAACCCCGCACACACACTCTCTTCATATCCTCTCAACTCAAATAAGCATTACCCCGACAGAGAGAACGTGTGGGAGCCAGCAGCCAAATCGATATCCGATATGTGATTTTGTATTTGTACCATTTGATTCGATAATGCTGGCAGAGAGACCATAAATTCCGATAAATATCTGCATTTGGGGTTGTGGGAGCTTGATGAAAAGCTCTCACCACCAGGCATCACGCCCGGGATGGGGGCAACTTTGTCGTGATTCCGATTGAATTTCGCGAAATGAATATTTGCACAATCCACTCTGAAAATGCAGATCAGATACCCATTAAATGTGATTGAAGCAATTTCGTGTAGCTTCATTAAATTGCTTCTCGAAAATTTGGTGTGTGCATTTTGAGCACTTGAAAATGTTAGACTTGTTGTGCTTCTCTTGCTGAGGCCTTCATAAAAATGATGGCCAGCATTAATTCTTTTCCCCATTTTTCGCCACTTGTGCTGGCCAGCATAATTCCGCACATGAATAGGGAGAGAGGAACAAGAGTTTCCCATCCGGCACAAAAAAGCTCTATAATTCAACTTACTTCACAGCATCTGAAACATCTTGCAATGGATTTCTTCCTCCGCCTCCTTCTCTCCGCCGGAAAAGCCATGCGGAGAGTGCGAGGGGAGATTTTCAAGTGTGGTGGAGAAATTTTCTCTGGCAGTGACACAGTCAGGAAGCTGCTTTTTCGGGCGAGGAGGCAAGATTACACCCACAGAAGTTGGGAAGGAGAATATGAAAATGACACATGAAGCAAATTGTCTGTGTGTGGCTCAAGTATTCCTGTCATTCAGTGATGGCGCATTATTTAAAGCACAAAAATTGTCTTAAGGCGTTCCTTTCACTTTTTCTCCGACTGTGAAAACTTGCGTGCTCGGGAGGCGCTCGTCTTCCGCCCCCACAACAATTTTCACATTGAGCGCCTGGAGGGAAAAAGTTGAGAATATATTCCGAAGGATTCCCTCAGAACACATCCACACGATTCCACTTGCGAGCCCCAAAACTCTCTGGCCGAGTGGAATGGGCGTTGGGAAAATAAATGTATGTGAAGATTTTCCATTGTGTAGTCCTCAATAATTTACAGAACAAGTCGCGATTTTTACGCGCAAGAAATTGATAGTTTTTATAGTGTTTTTTGCACAGAAAATCTCGAATAGCAAATTAACGAATTTCTTCTCTTTCAACTCACAGAGAAAACTTGAAACTTCCAATGAATCTTCTTAGGAAATCTTCGAAACAAGCAACTGTTTAGAATCCATTGAATTCATCTAATTACTCCATATTCAACTTTGACTCAAATTATTCGGCATTGTGCTGCTCATGCATTTTGCATCAGGCACTGTGTTGAATAAATTTCCTGCTTTACTTACAAAATCAACACACAAGCACACGAAGATTTCACCACAGAGAATTTCTCTGGAGGTTTTTTTTTCACCCTGAATTCTCTGTCCTCCAGAATTTGGGTGAAAGAGTCCACAGAATGCGAGATGAATTCCTTATGCGCTTCAAGAAGATTATTTGAACTATTTTAAAACACATCTAATGACATGCTTTGCATATTGAGAATTTCACACAACGTCTTTTTATTCCCTTTTCTCTCCGGTGCGCTCGCTTTATTGCATTTTGCATTATTAACACCTTCTAATCGGTCTTGAAGATTTTCTCCAATGAAAGCTCATTAAAAGTGCTCTTCGTATTCATCGGAAAAAGCGGGGAATGATGAGTCGTGGAGAGGTCGATTTCACCCTCTTCAATCTGTTTCTCCGAAGAAATTCCATTCAATTTCACTCCATTCAGCTTGAGATGTTGAATGATTTTTATGGCATTTTCTCTGGAGCGAATGAAAAATGACTGACTTTGAGGAGTGTCTGATGGGGCTTTGCCTGCCAAACAACGCCACGGGATGTGAGTGAAATGAAGAAATTTCCCATTTATTATTTTTAGCTTTCAACCCATAAAATTTCCCCTGGATCGAGAGATGCTTTTCTCTCTTTCATCCATTTTAATGGGGGGCTTTTCTGTTCGCCTCGCATATCGAAAATTGTCAATCGATTGGAATTGATATGGGGAATCTTGAGCATTTCCCTCGGAATATGCGCGATTGCGCAAGTTCCTGCACTGATTACACACCGCACAGACATTCTCTGGAAGTGTGACAGACGAAGAGAGCTTCCAGAGAATATTGTGTGTCTTAATTGATGTTGGAAATTGAGCTCTTAATTGGCCTGATCAAATGCTTGAGTGGATTTTTCACGGTGAAACAAATTATTTGGCAATTTCTTCGCCGTCAAAATCTTGGCAAATGATGCGAAGAGAAATCAGCATTTTAGCGGCTTTTGTTGTTCTCCGCACTTTTCACCCACTTTCTTTGTATGCTAATCGGAAATGGATCGGTTGTGTCGATGGTTGGGCGGCCTGAGGGAGGCTCGCTATTTAATGGGGAAGTTCAAAGGCCGCTTCGGGTGAATGTTTAGAAATTTCTCATCGTCCTATTCATCACGCGCTGCTGATGGGCTGCAGACAAAGCGTGGGTGGAGCTTTTTTGTTTCGCACCCAGTGTAGGAAAATTCACCCAGAGAGAGAGAAGAGCCTCTTTTCCTAAAGGCAAAACCCGTGACTTGGCACTTCGGTCTGTGGATTGTACAGTGAGCGATGCTTTATTTATGGAAATTAAATTCGACCAATATCAAATTGAATTGGGTCCCGAGCAAATGGGCGAACGTCTCTGCCACATAAAATATCTCCTTATCTCCACGGAGATCCGATAAGTGTGGGCCACGTGAGCGGGCCGAATATTTTGGCGCCAAAACTCAAGCACCGGAGATGCCATGCTCGAGGTGACGCCAGAGTCGCACACAGAGAGTGTCTTCCTTGAGGGTGTTTAGCAACCCAAATTAGGGCAATTACAATCCATAATGCAATTTGCATGGATCCCCTCACTTGACACTCCCAGGGCATCCTGCATAATGACTTTATAACGAGGAAGACATGTTCCTCGCCAACACCACAGAATCCAATGAGAAGAATTGATCAAATTCATCGAGAAAGTTATTAAGTAACTCCTCTTGCCATCTCAGAGACTGCATAACTTCTTGCCCGGATTTCCTCCACCCCATCTTCCACCGTCACTTTCAGTTCATCCTTCGGTGAATAGGGAAGATATAATTGAACTTCTCGTGGGATTCAGGAACATTTTCATTCAATGACTGTATCCCAAGTGACACAGAGCACTTCTTGTGTTATCCAAAATTAGTCAGATTTGTGATTTATTAGGTAAAGTTGACTATTTCCAACTCATGCATTAAAGAGTGACGAATTTCCTCTGCTTCGCATGGGAGAAAATCTGTATTTTCTACCACTTCTATTTATCTTGCGAATAGATATCAATATTTTCTTTGGATTCTTTCAACTCTTCTGCAGCAAAGTTCTGATAAATACACCCAGGTTTTCCCCTGAAGCGACAAAATGCTTCGAGTGGAATTCGCAAAGTACACGAAAAGTGGTAGTTTTCGTATAATTAAAGCTCTTCCTCTTTATAGTAGAACATCTCTTCAACAATATATATTCTCATGACTTTTTCAAAGTCTCTTGAAAGTTTTCATTGGAGAATTTCTCAACTGTTCATCAAGCCAAACAACCTTTAGACACAAAACCACATCTTTATTATTTAAATTTCAGTCTGCAATTGAAATTTGAAGTTTCAATTAATCCATCAAGAATGGGGCAAAATTTAACATTTTAGTACTTTGAATATGCTTTCAAACATTATGATGAAGATCATGGTGAAAATAGAGACTAATTCCGATAAGCTTGAGATTGTGGGCGGAGCATTTGCCACCCTCTCGCATTCTAAGAACTTGATATGTTCGCTAAGCTCACGCGGTATAATATTTCACGTAAATTCGTGCATTTGGGCAAAAGTTGCAATGTAGCAAAGTATTTCTGGATGCTCAAAACTTTGCCTCGGGACGACAAGAATGCTCAAAGCCCTGAAATACTTCACCTAATCATTCCTCATGCATATTCTGCGTTGAGCAAATTCATGCAGGAAATTGCACAATGCAGAGGTAATTAACCATGGAATGCAGTGGGATGAATCTCCAAACTCTCGAGGGAAGTTGCACTGGCGGGCATTAGTTAAGGGGTAAGAAAAATTAACTCATCGTTTGATATTATCTCAAGACACCTCCTGTTTATGGGGCGAGACAAAATGCTGCGCTGATAAATCGCCATGCCTTTCAGACTTATATTATTGCTCTTCTCGCCAAACGACTTACCCTGGCAACTGTAGCCATTTTTCTGCAGTTCAAAGCCTTCAGTGCAGTCACATTCGTACATTCCATCGTGCAATTCGTAGCAGAGCTGCTCGCAAGGACTGCCATGTCCACAGTGGCCTGGAAAATAATAGAGTTAGAGCAATACAATATCACTACATTCTTTTGTCGAAGCTCGCTCTAGACACCATGCGAAATGGCATTCGACGGCGATAGAGAGTTGCTGAAAGAACTAGCTTAGAATTGGATTTTTCCGAAACACAATGACAGATGCCATTTTGCGATCTGTTCAAATTTAAATCCACAACCGTTTCGATTTGTCAAAGGAAACGCGCAATATAATCCAATCCAATTCCATGCGAATAATCCGTGAAAAGTGTTCAAAGGAGAATTTTCAACTCTGTCCTCAGCGTCCTCGGCAATACAAACATTCCTTTTCCAAGTTTTTTTTCCATCCCTTATCGCATTCACAGACGACACGCAATAATCAAACCCCAAAGAGTCGGGCGAATCGAGAGGGAATGATTGCGAACGGGAGCCAATATAAATTTTTCCCTCAGTCTCATCCCCATTCAATCCATTATGCCATGTGATATCTATTGGAGATAGTAGAAGAGTTTAGTGAAATATTTCTCAGGTCATGGATGGTATTGAGAATTTATTTCCACTGACGACGACCCGCCTGCAAAAATGTCATAAATGATTCACTCTCGATATTCTCTCTTCACTATGTGTTTCTATATAGCAAAAATTTCGTATGGCATTTCAAGGAGCTTTCCCTGCCATGTGAGAGGGTTGCAAAAAAATCCACTTTGAATTTATTGCATCATCCCCATATCTCACTCGCATATGGTTTTACTAGAGCCTTTTCAAATGAATTCAATTCTGTTAATAATAAATAGAGTTTGAAAAGTTTATACTCGAGCAAACCATCGAGGGGCTTTCATGAAATTCATATCGTCTATATATACTTTCATCATACATTAAATTGCACTGTACAATTTTTTCCCCATCCTTTCAGCTCCATGCCACTGAATTAGTAACTCCATAACAAGTCTATCTGCAGCCCAGAATCTCTATCCCGCATGTTTGAATACTTAATGCCGCCTCTTTTGCACGGAAAACTGTGCGAAATGGGAACTGTATAGTCTCTAAACTGTACATAAGAATTAGTTTTATAATCAACTTTATCAAATTAAGAAGAGTTCAGCTGTATTTTTTCACCGCCTCGCGCAGTTGAAGGTGAAAAAACATTATGAAGCTCTAGCTTCCTTGTCTGTTTCCCTACAAATTGAGTGCATTTCCGCCCGACGGGGAGAGCTTAAGAAGGCTCTCTTGCATCATTTTCTTTTCACCTTCTCTCGCAGCTTCTAAAGCTCAACATATCGTGCTCTGGAGAGACGAAGAATCAACGAAATGAAGCTCAAATTGTACACAATTTTGTGTTTTCTCTAGGCAAAAAAAAACAGAACACAGTTGAAAAGAATTTATCAGAGGATTTAGCAAATTGCAATTTGAAATGAAACTATACACTAGAATAGTGGAAAAACTCACTTCCCTTTGCGTCTTTTTATTTTTTTATTCTTTACTCCCTCAAATGAAGTTCACTTCCTGTTGGCGGAAAGCTCTGGAAATTGCTTTTCAAGGCTCTCACCGAATGGAATGTTAGTGGAGCGACACATATGATGGAGATTTTCGTCTCAATTCTGCATTATTCATCTCCTTATGGATTATTTAAGGTGTAACTGTATGCGGAGAAGTCATACATTTCCCTTCGACATACACACTCGATTCTCTCTCTCTCAAATGTCTGCCACATGCCTTCCTGGGACACATCGCACCTCGCATCCAACACACCCCCACCTGTGCACGCTCCCATGTTTGTTTTCATGCCATATTTGCTCTACTTTGCCGTTCCCTTTTGCAATTTATGAAATGTGTAGCTTTTTCTGCAAAATTCATATTGGAAATGTCGAGTGGCAGAGCTTTCAAGATTCATCCCCAACGTTTGCCGTCTCAAAAGTGACATCCATATATATCCATTCCAATCCATTCCCTTGTAAACCCTTGTAAGGCGGTTACTTTTTAATTGAATGAATTGTCGGATGATAAAAGTTTATTGTTGATCACATTCTTGGGAGCGCCGCTGAGCTTTTCTCCCGCTTGATTTGCACATAATAAAAAAAATCTCCACTCGAAGGGTCATAAATACATATATATTCTGTGGAGGGTGTTCGACGGGAAATCTCCTTGGTAAACAGTCATCACACTGGGTGTGTGTGGAGAGGAAGTAAATTGGCGTCACAAGAGGACGACGGGGAGCGAAAAAGAGCAGAGGATAAAGATGGCAAGAAGTACCCATAAATTCCAGTTAAATTTCAGTGGAATTACATACTCTGTCCGGGAAAAGCTCTTCACCGCATTCCAAACCCCAACACTCACATGCTGAACTCTCTGCATGTGGAGCTTTTCTCCATCCCTCCCGCCACGCTTTGCCATGGCGATTGCGAGGGGTGAAAATTGCACGATTAATTCCGCCAGGAAGGAACTTTTCAAGAATGTCCACTCAGGGGATGGCACTTACATGGAAATTCAATTAAGAAGGATCCAGACAAATAAATTTCTTTGCAGATTCAGCAAAATTCTACAGAGAATTTTTGGGGTTGTCCCCACTAAAAATGCCCGCAAGGATTGAAAATTCAATGGTCGAGAACGAGCGCAATTGAGGAAGAATGGTGGGATATTTTTGTCGAATTGCAGAAATTCTTCAATTGAGCGAGCCTTCACTGGCTGAACAGGGATTGAACCATAATCCTGAGGGTTTCGAGGAATCAGAGATAATTTAAAATTCAAACAATTTTAATAAATTTCACAATCGCTTCATATCAATCTCATCAAATATTTGATCAACATAATGAATATTTTGACGCCTAATATGCTGTTCAATATCAATGCAGATTTTTTTGTGCCCAATATTAATTGAAATTCATGGGAATTTTTTGCATGTGTCGCAAATTTCCCCAACAATTCGTGATGTATCTCACTGTGGCGAATTTCGCTCCCTCCGCAGTGAAAATAGAGAGGATGTTTTGGGGGGATAAAAAGAAATCACTTTTATGGCCATTGCGAATCTGGGCTCTCATCCCTGACCCGCTTTTAGGGGTCTCCAGTGAGAACAAAGGAAACACACCGCGCCGAGTGAATTTCCCTGCCCATTCTTGGGGCGGATGCCCCCGAAAAAAAGGCTCTGGCAGATTTTAAACACAATCTATAAATCACAATGTGTGTTTTATGGCGGAATATTTTGTTGGGCGGACGAGGAGACATTTACGAGGTTTCTCTTTATATTTCAAACCCATGTGAAAAATGTAACATACAAAATACTCGTGTATGTCAATATAAAGCATCATACACTGTGTGAAAATTGCTACACAATTTTACCTTTATTGCTCTCAACTCACACCTTTCCTTTGGGGTGTGTGTGTTGTAGAGCTTTCTGGCTTCTCGCCCCGCATTTTTCCTCTTCTGGCTGCGGAACAATGTCGATGTGGAGCGATTCTTGGGGGTGTGAGAATGCGAGGGAAGAAAGGCAGCCATCACTTGTACGCAATGCCACTAAATCAAAATTGGATGTGAAGGAAGGCACCCTCATCAATTTTTCTCAACACAATTTTCATTATTGCACACCGTGAGACCCCCAAACGGGAGGGAAATTGACGAAATTTATTCACTATTGCCTCACTCAATTTTCAATCCATGCCACACCTTGCCACTCCCCTTCGAGAGCACCCTCAGCACATGGCCAAAGTGGCATGACTTTCACTCTAGGGGCGAAGAATTTCTTCATATTGCAGAATCACTGCCTCGAAAACCACTCGAGAATGCTAAGACTTTAAATTAACTGTATGTTTTTCCAATTTTTGGCTGTCAAAAGCTTTTGTGATCGTGAAAAATAATGGATAAACTAATTAAATCACACTAAATTTGCCAGAAAGTCCCTTTCTTACATCGTCAACATTATAATAAAATTCGTTAGACGAGAGAAACAGCACGAGAATTCGGAGAAAAAAGACGTAAATCATTTTCGTAGTATATTTTCCGCGTGAGAAGGATAACAAAGGCCCATAGTTCACTATCAACAATGTTTTTTTTGCCTTCTGTTGGTTATAAATCATGAGAAGACACAAATATGCCGAAAAGATTTAATCGGTTTCTCTCAGTGAACCAAACTTCAATTTTCTCTGTGACTTTTCCTCAACTCACGTACGCGATCCTGACGATTTTCCATGGGATTTCAGGTCACACCACAATCTCACTGTCACATAGCAGAGATGTCAACTTTTATAATTTCCATTTTGAACATTCCATACAAAACTTTTCTCTTTTGCACTTTTCCTTTGCTCCCAATAGAATCCACCATTTCCCGCGTTGGGAAATCACCTGCAAAGATCACTCAATACGCGCCAAAAGAGGTAGAAAATTTTCCTTAAATTGGCTAAATGTCTCTACCAGTGAAGAGAGAGAGAGTGTGAAAAATTTACCAAGCCATCGAGCAAAATGGGAGAAAATCAGGTCACTCAGGAGACACATTTTCACCTGTAATGTGCGGTTTCTATTCTTTCCCTTCGGTTCATCGTCATTTTTGCAAATTACGTGCTGAGATGCCTTCCAAGGGTGGCACAGCTTGGAATGTAGGTCATGCGGAAGACAATAAAAAGCAGCTTATAGGGTGTCGACATGCAGGAGGAATGATAAAATTATGAGAATCAATTTGAAGGGTGGCAAATCACACCATTAAAAATCACTGCTGATGATCCGGTTGCTGTTTTTTTCTCTGCACATTGCCAGAACGCCCGCAAAATAGCTGCTCATTTAATTATTTTACTCAATTTACTCCACTCATATTGAACACACTCGCGCCATACTTAATGTGTGAAACATGTGTGAGACATAAAATGCATCGTAATTGAGTTTCAGCGGAAAATTTACGATTTGTGGCAACTTTTTTCGCCCGTTCGACTAACGACAGAAAAAAAGGGCATGAAAAGAAATATTAATTCTCTTGCTGGTCAATTTAGTGTTGTTTTTTTTTGTCATTTGCAAATGGTGTGTTGTTTTTT